ATCAATCCAAGCACAAATGCACTTATTTAAAGAAAAAATTACTTTTCTAGATTTCCATTTTTCCAAGTGTATAAAGTCCCTATATAGGGATTGATGGATTTAGGGGTTAGTGCATGCTTCCACGCATGGAGAGGGCAGGTCTTTTAAAACAGCGGTCCCCAACATTTTTTGGAACCTTGCACCGTTTATATGTCAGACTATATTTTCGCGGACCGGCCTTTAAAGTGTGGGGGGTAAATATGATCAAATAAAATGATCCGACTGGCATAAAATCAAAAAAGAACAGCATAAAAATAAAAGTGACCATTATGTTGAATTAGTGGGAGTCTCCTGAGCTTGTTTCTCCAAAACAAGCCGGTCCCATCTAGGTGTAACTGGATACAATGACACGAAGTGAGCTCCTGATGTCCAGTCTGCTCCGTAGCTTTGTTTTGGTCGCTCTAACCGCAGGAAATAGGATGCGTCAAGAGGCACAGATGCGCCAACTGATGTAATTGGGAGAGAATACCCCAATTTTTTTTATATTTCTCAAAATAAAACATCACTCAGACTCTGATCATCGATAAATTATATATATTTTTTTCTGTGTGGCCCGGTACCAAATGGCCCACGGACCGGTACCTGACTGTTTTAAAAAAACTCGCGAAATTCCTGCTCAACACCTTTAAACTAGTTAGTAGCAGCTTGGTTAGTTTGTTAAAACAGATTGAGGCAGTAGCAGCTCAGGCTAACTGGGGTGTACTTGTGTACTTTGTTTAGTCAAAAGATGTTGACAGTTGACGGTAAACTTTACAGCTTTAAGGACGCAAAAAATAAAGACATAATGAGCACAGGTTTTGCAGCTTTAGATTAAAACATTGCACTTTTTCAATATAAATATGTGCATTCTCTTTTTTTGGAGGGGGAGCGGATCCAAATCTTTAGTGCAATAATGCAGTTACCTTTTTCGCGGACACTATTTAAAGGTAGTAATGAAATAAAGACATCAGTATTTAAAACTCTCAACAAATTCTTGTAGACGGAAAAAGATTACCTCAAAAACCTAAGTTAAAATTCTTTATAATGCAACTGAATATCAGCTTTACTGTGGTAACTTATTGTTTTTTGTATGGTTTTTGTTTATTTTTTTGCGGGTGTGTAAGTGGGTTGGCTCCGTAATGGTATTTAGAGAGAAAGCAAAGAACAAAAGAATGGAAAAAACATGAATCTGTGGCTGGATTTTAGAAAGGGCGACGGACAAAAGGACAATTGTGTGAAAAGCACAAAGCAGAAAAGAAGTAGAGAATTAGGATAAAAGAAGAATAATTGCAGGAAATGAAAGAGGAGGCAGCTGGCTGAGATGGGTTGGAAATCGCAAAGTAAGAGAGGAGTTAAAGATGATGCAGAAA